TCCTCTTGAAGATTTTTGAAACAGCCTGCTCACCAGATCCAGTCGACTACTTAGACCAGAGGGCTCATTTCAAAACACACCTCTGATCATTGATGTCTTCCTACTAATGTTCTTTTCATTGATTGCCATCGCACTTAATTTACAATGAAGACTTCTCAGCATGGTGCAATAGACTGGATTGTGTCCTCTTCAAAGTCATATATTTGGAGATATGGCCTATAGGGAGGTAAATGAGGTTAAATGAGGTCATGAGGATAGGACTCTGATCAGATAGGATTAGTGTCCTTAGAAGAAGTGATACCCACCAGTGTTCTATTTGTACGTGCAGGCAGTGGAAAGGCTATGTGAGTACACAATGCGATGGTGGCCATTTATGATGCAGGAAGAGAGCCTTCACTAGAAATCAGACTGGCTAGAATCTTGATCTGGGACTTTCCAGCCTCCCAAAGTGTGAGAAGATATACTTCTGTAGTTAATGCCACCCATTTTACAGTATTCTGTTATGGTGGCCAGAGCCGACCAATAGACATAGTGTATAGTTTTGTTTTGATTTTTTTAATAAGTGGTTATTATCTTCTCCAGACTAATTTATTACCATTCCCCATTGAACATGATGGTTTGGTAATGTCTGCAATGCCTATCTCCTCCTTATGTATCTGGTTAACTCCCTCTTTCTTCAAAATTGAACTCAGATGGGGTCAGCAACCTTCTAATGCACTTCCATAATACCTTACAAATACATCTACTGTAAGAGTCATCATGCTGTACAGCAATTACCATTTCTTTGTCTGTTTCCAGGAATAGATTCTTAAGAAAGGGGACACTTTTTAAACCTCTGAATCCCTCTCTGCCTATGAGGGGCATATTACATACTTGAATAAATTAGTGATAATACTTTAGAGAGCAGTAGACAGGACTGTCTTCTCTGTCTGCCATTTGTTAGCTGTTACTCTAAGATTACCTCTGTTTCTCCTCATATAAATTCCTTGTCTGTCAAAATAATTATATACTGGTTGCAGATTGTTGAACGGATTAATTATAAAATAGTTTGTGGCCAAGGATAGTATATAAGAAATGCTCAGTAACAGCTGATTGAATCTAAATCCAATTTTTCCATCCTTTGAGGACCAATTCAATTCTACATTTGCAATGAGACCTATATAAAGATCCATAAGCAGAATTAAGTGTTACCTTCCTTTTCCTTTCACAGACTTTGTTTGTATCTTAATATGACAGTTATCAGAGTTTTCCTAACATTAGAGTGATTGACAGATATATCTGTTTCCTTTCTGCTGGTAATAGGCCTAGTGCACAGGGACCAGCTATTTTCCATCTTGCTGCCTGAAACTGACTATATGAGTCTACACATAGGAGGTGCATATAGGCAGGTACTGAATAGATTTTACCTAACATACCTCACAGCTTATTGTAAAAATGTTAACTAGAGCGGCTTGCTCTGCTACCAGTTTCCCCATTTCTGAGTTATTCATCCTTTTATTGATTAGGATTGACCTATAGGCTGATTCCTTGACAAGGGTTCACTTTTGATGTTAAGTGAGATTTCAACTCAAATATGTGACTGAACTGGTCAGTCTAGGCAGCAAGCCAATAAGAAAAAAGCACATCCCTCTCCCTCTTTCAAACTTCTGGTCTTCCTCTAGTGCCCCCTGTTGTCAGAACCAAGCCAGGAGCCACTTGGCAAAGGAGAAATACCATGTGTGGAGATCCAGCCCCGGCATTGTAAGGCGGAATGTAAAGAGTTTTAGCTGAGACAGGGATCTATCAACTGGCATATTGATAGTTAATGAAAGGGAATTAAGTTCTGATATTGCATAATCTCTTGGTTTGATTTCAATTCAATGTTTTCAATCTATGAAAGAGTAAGGCTTTTGCTGCTGCCATGCAGGGGTGGAGGAATGTTAAACAATTTCCTATTTTGTTATCAAGCGGGTAGGCTTTTGTTTCTGAAGAGCGAATGGTCTAAAAAAACAACGGTAAGAGTTTGTCTTGAAATAAGTTATTTTAAAATAAAAGAGGATGTCCGGAACAAGGAAAGGATTCTGGAAGGCAAAATTAAATCCTGGGGAGATTGGATTTCTACTGTGTGATGGCAGAAGTGGTGTGAATTCCAGCATTAGTGCCATGTCAGAATGAAAACGGCTTCTATGCCAGGAAATCACTGGTGCTAACTCTTTCTAATTAGAATAGTACTGGAGTGCTGGGTACAGTCCGGACAGTGAAGTGCGTTCATTTGATAAATGAATTACTAGCACTATTCTACTGACTTCCAGATGCAACATTCAAGGTGGCCTCAGTTAGTAAACAGAGGTAAAAACATATCCTCACACATTTGCTTCATGCCTGAAAAACAAGCAATTTAGGAGAAGACATCTGGACCTAAATTTGAACAGGACTCCGAGCCCATCAAAACATGGATTTGATGGCTTGGCGTCTGGCTGCTAAGCAACGTACTTCTTACATTCAAAACAGAATTGTAAAAGTAGAATCTTCGTGCCAACTCTGGGTATTTCTCATTGAAAAGGAAATAGCTCTGACAGTTTTCTTCAGGCCTCAAGATACCTGATTTTCATGAGCTGGAAGACCTCAGATCTCTCCTCCAGCCTTCTTGTTTTTCACATTCTGAAGTATTAGGCAGAGATTAACTTTACTTTGTGAAATACTCTCAAATGAATGCTGCATAAAGGCCTTGAAATATGTTTTTCAGCCTACTAATTAGTAGCAGTCTTTTAAATTAGGCACATCTATGCCAAATACACATGCATTTCAAATATTTGCTTCTTGTGAAGTTAGATGTATATACTACAGGGGCAGCCAACCACAAATGAGATTTGCTTTCCTAAAAGTATGCTTCTGGTTGGCAAGGAAACCAGGGAGGGCCCATGTGAAATATTTTCCATGTGTAGACTTGTTTGAAAAGTGAATGTCCTTATAATACTGACAAAAATTAAGATGGACCATTAATTTATTTCTCCTTTGCTTTTTATCTATTTAAAATATGCCGTTAGGTTTCAGGCTTCGGAAAAATAGAAACAGTGAACTACCCAAACAAAAAACAAATTCAGAAAAAGCAATCTACAAATCATTGAGAATCACTGAGTAGTTCCTTGTTTTCTGGGAAACAATTAGGAACATTATTGGGCAGGAGGTAGGAAGTAACAAGCCTTCTATTAATTTTTATTTATTTTAAAATTATGAAATGTGGATTGGTGTTTAAAAATGAAAGTGAATTACTAAAATGACCTATTTCCTTGGAGCAGTATGCTTACAAAAGTATTTCTTCCTCTTTCTTAAGAGAACCTCCTTCCATAAACTCTCTAAAGACTCCTGCTTGGCATCCTCTTGTGATGCAGCAAAGCAAGGAAACCCAGACATGGAAAGTTGCTTACCAAAAAAAAAAAAAAAAAAAAAAAAAAAGGAGCTTGGAAACCAAACAAGAAAGGGATAGTTTTATAGAACTTCACTTTACAGAGAAGGCCACAAATGAATGTTCTACCATTTCAAAGACTAACGTGTGGAGGAATTAAAAGATGGCTTCCAGAAAATCACTTAATGAGGAAAAAAATTTTTTCCATTGTGCACAGCACTGAGCACTGCCTGGCTCTCCCTAAACTGCCGCCCTCCAGCATCTTTGTTTACATGTGGTTTACATTAATGTCCACCCTATGAACCACAAGTGTTTCTCTACTCCAAATTTATCAACACTTTCCCTTCATACCAGAGGGGTCTTAGTAAAAATAGAAGAATTAGGTAATGAAGCTGTGTGATTCTAAAGTCTCCTGCAAGCCATCATGTAATTTCTTATCCTTATTCTGTTTGCTTCATTTTATACCATGATTTTATATCATGCTTCAAAGTTTGTAATCTTTTATCTATTCTGGATGGGTCTCAAACACTAAAGGAATGAGCTTTAAAAGTCAATTACCAGGCATTGAAAAGGCACAACTTAAAACTGCCAGTCAGAGTAGGGTTGTGACAAAGGAGGCTTAGAACTATACTCAAGCCAGGCCCCTAACCAACCCAGACTTTTTGTGTAAATGTCACACAAACTCGGTGGTCAAACACTGTGTAAATAGATACTGCATTCTCTCCAGAGCCTCTGAGCCTTAAAGATCCATTTCTTTTCTTCCCCATAGCCATCCTTCTTAAAAGGAGGAAGTGCTGGGAACACATTTCTTCCTCCTGTCTTGACTCTTCGCCCAGTTCTTCTGCACTGGGGCTTCGGAAACGCAGTCATCCAAAACCCAAACATGCAAACGGGATGTGACCCTCCCTAGGCGGCAGAGTTGGCCTGGGCAGTACCTGCGATGCACTGGTGGACTAAGCAAAGGGGCTGTTAAGGAACCTCACAAGTTTGTCCTCTCAGCTGATTGGGTCTCTATACCCTGCTGGCCCGCCCACATTACTCTCTTCCCAGGAGCTGAGATTCCAAGGTGGACCTGTAAGAACTCCATTAGGAATCCAACCTGGAAAAGGATTCCTTTTCCCTTCCCACGTGAAGCAGAAGGGGTTCTAGTAGAAAAGGTGGTCATTTACAAAAGAAGGCCATTGGACAATAGTGACTACTGTGAATGAACCATCAAGGTTGGACACTTTTATTTTTACTGTAAAGAAGATCCATGATCCCAAAGGCAATCTTGTTTTCCTTTCTTTTCCCCATTTAACTGTATCATTTCCCCAAGCATTCTAGTGCCTTCTTACGTTTACGTTCCCATGCCGCAATACCTCAGACTAGATGATATGAAGCATTACCGATTCTTCATGATTACTTAACCAGATCTTGGCATTTAAGGCAAACAATTCTGTGGGGCTAACCTGAATACAGGAGCAGAGTTGAAGGCTGGTTGGATTTCCTGCAAGAAGCAGTTAAACACATCCCCAGCTGCAGGAGGTTTGTGGGAGAAGCAAAGCCACCAGCAAGATTCCCTACGACCTACTTCCTGATACCAGGGCTGGGAAGCCCGCATCCCGGCTGGACCTACCTCCCGAGTAAACAGGATAGCTGCGTCGTAGTGCTCCTCATGATCATCTCCCAGCTGGTTGTGTTGGTGTTGCCACTTGCAAAAGTTCTTGAGCGTGGTGGCTGCATTCTTGCTAACCTCCAGGCTCTTGTCCTTGTCGCCCAGCACCACCACCTTCACCACCGCCAGGCGGATGTGGTTCTCGATGCTGGCATGGCTGTACAGCCTATTGGCAATGGAGGCCAGGGTCAGCAGGTAGTGCTGCAGTCCCCTGCCATACAACCGCGCCATGGACGCGTCAGCCACCAGAAGCAGCTCCACCTGGCGGGCCCGGGAGATGGAGCGGCGCCGCCGCCGCCACCACGTCTGCGGTCCTGGACCCCCAGCAGGCGAGAGAGCAGACTGGTCCAAAAGCTGTGAGGTCGGCGCTGTGCGTCGGCCCGGACTGCTGTACGCCGGGGGATGCTCGTGAGGCTCCGGCGTGGACGTGGGGGTCTCGCAGCTGGCGCGCTGAGGCAGGGCCTCGAAGCTGAAGCCCTCGCGGGTGTAGACATGCAGGATCCGTGTGGACCCATCCCCGTACACGCGCCCTGTCTCCTCGGCCCAAGGTCCGCGCAGCAGTGGCTTCAGGATGTAGCGCGCGTGCTTGACAGCGAAGAAGCCATCGAGACCCCCACAGAGGTCAAAGACAGCCAGGGATCGGGGACTGCCGTCCACTGTGCCCCGGTAGAAGCAGTGGCTCCGGTGGCGCCAGGGCTCACTCGTCCCACCTCCTTCGGGCACGAAGCCAGCAGTGCCCACCGAACCATCCCGCTCCAGGTCCAAGAGGAACCTCCGGCCGCCCGCGTAGACGAGGTAGCCCACCTTGCCGCCGCCGGAGTAGAGTTGGTCGATGTTCTGCACCAGCCCCCTGCTCCTGCGCCGCTGCGCCAGGGGGTGCGGGTGGCCCGGAGGCTCGGTCGGCTTCTGCACCTCCTCCCCCTGCCGCTGGCGGGGCTGGGAAGCTGCTGCAGCAGTTGGAGGCTGCCCCGCTTTATCCTGGGCAGGTGCCGCGGCGGGGCCGCCCGTGGCCAGGGGCAGGCGGAAAGCGCACAGCAGCAGGGACGCCCACCCGAGCAGCATAGTGCGCTGCCCGCGGGGAGGGGCTGCGCAACAGGGACTTTATGGGTATTTGTTGTTTGCTAGGAAGTTACCGGGGCGGGGGATGGGGACACACACACACTTGCTTGCAAGGTTGAGTCAAGTGTCGGAGGGAGGGGAGCCGGCGGCAGCGCCAGCCTGTCCACCGTGGTGCTAGCGTGCGAACTTTTCTTTGTTGCTTGGGAAAATGTTTGGATTTGTGCTCCAGAAAGAGGAGGAGGAAAAAAAAGAAAGAAAATATTAAAAAAAAAAAAAAAAGTCGGATAGTGGAGATTCAGCAAATACGGGAACAAGGGGGAAAAAAAACCAAAAAAAACAAAAAACAAAGAAACACAACAAATGCAGACACGATAGCTGCTCCAAGAAAAGTAAGGAAGGTACCGCGCACCCGGCTGGCAACTGGTGCGCGCAGCCTCCCGCCCCCGCGCTGCGCTGGACTCGCCGGCTGCGGAGGTTCCAAGCTCCGGGGCCCACTTCCTTTCTTATTTTGTGGGTTTTCTTGGCTCTGCTGGGACCAGGAGGAAGGGAAGAAAGAGAGGGGGAAAAGCCATAAAAATTAAAACAAAAACGCAGCAGGCAGCCTGAGGCGAGGTGGCGAAGCGGCTTGTGTGTGTCCCTCTGGCTGCGGTGTCTTCTTACCCGCCGTCATCCCCAGTCGGCCGCTGCGAGCGCCGAGAGCAGCGCGAGCGCTGTGAAGATGCGAGGAGGTGGAACAATGAATTTATAGCGGCATGCCATCCTGCAATGGCAATTTCAACAATTCGTCACTGCACACTGCCTCTTAAAGGGAGAGCTTCCCCCACCACTCCCACCCTTCCCGGTCCGCGCCTAATCAGACGGGGGAGGGCATTAGAGGAGGGTGATCTAGGAAAGGGAGACCAAGTAGGAGGAAGGGACTGGGACACAGAGAGGTGGAAGGAGGGACGAGGAGGAAAAAAAAAGTAATGGAGCAAGAAAAACAGATTTCCTTGGCCACTTTTAAAGCCACACGGCTCCGGGTCTGTCTGATATTTCACAACCAATTGGGGTTGGCCAACCTCGGCTTACCTCATCTCCTGAACGGGTGTTTTGGTGTATTTTTAAAGTTATTGAGACGTTTCAAGTCTCTCCCTGCCTCCTCCTTGCCTGCTTTTCTCGCCCTCGGTGGGAAGTTCCTGCTGCCAATTTTCCCCCTTCGCACACCGGTGCGCTCTCAGACCGTGCAACTCCATCCACCAGCCAGAGCTTCTCAGCGTCCCGCGCATCCCCTACCCACCGCATTCCCTTCGCTTCCTCCCCTCTGTCCGGCACCCTGTTTCTTCCCTCTCCAATCTCCAGCCTCTTCGTGCTTTAACGCTCCTTGGATTCGGGCTCCGGGTGACTAACTTCTCCCGGCCACCAGCAGAGCTGCTGGGCAGTCGGAAAGCCCAGGGCGCTTCCTGGCCCGCTGCGGTTCCCCGGGGCAAGGACGCCTGCAGCCTGGGAACTCCGTAGCTTTGTGTGCAAACTGCGCGCTCCCCGCTTTCTCCAGCACACCTTTCATCAGGGTCCACAATCTGTCCCTTAATCCTGGCCCACTGGAACTTCCTTTGCTATGAAAACGGAAGGCGGGAAAGAGTTAACTCTTAAAGGGAATTCCGCTCATTTTTTTCTTCCTGAAATATTTTAAAATTTTGCACTCACACTTTTTATATTTGTATTTAAATGATAATTAAATAATAAATCCTATATCTTGTTTTTGTCTTTTCTAAAGCAAGCACTTATGGCCATAGACCTTGACCTACCTTCGTTCTCAGAAATTCCTTTTAGAAGAAAAAGAATACTTTTGGCGGAAGAAAGATTGGTGCTTATTAGTACGCGGATGGCATTATCACTACTACTCATTTTCTCTGTCCTCTTTGTTTCCTTTAATTATCATTCTAAGAAGGGAGAAGGAAAACTCGACGACTTTCTAACCAATACCTGGTAAGGATTAGAAGGTCTACCTACACAGTAGGGGTAAGAGCTCCGTCCATCCACCAATTATTCTTCAGGCTAATTAACTAATGCACCAGTGAAAAATGAATGTGGTGTAATTAGCACATTTCAATCTTTTTCTGCGTTTAACTTTGGTGATGCTGGGGTTAGCAGGGGCGGGTGCCTCAATGGTTCCCACGCTGATCACGTTCTCTGGGAGGGAACCATGAGGATCTGGGGCAGGATGGAGGTTCTTGGAATGGCAATAATTTCTGGAAGGAATTACAGAATTGCCCGGCAACGATGCCCATTGCCTTGTGCCTGGAACACCCTCTGGAGTCATGTGAAAGACCGACATAACATTTTGTTTTAACTTATAAATTAAGAGATCATTGGGGCCTAGGGACATCCAACAGCTCCTGATGGGTTCTGACATACATCCAGGGAGGAAGTTAACTATTGCTGAAGGCCATTGCTTGATAATTCCACAAGGCCTCAGCAATTCAGTGGCCAGTTGCCCCAGGCCCATGCTGCCAGCTGGATGGATGGGTCAGGATAGGAGGTTCCAGCAATATTCTCTGTCCCACCAAGGCCTTTGAGCCTTGCGTTAACCATTCTCTCTCCCGTGGTCCTTACTTTGCACCTACAAATAGCAAACTTTATCTTTTTAAGCAGTTACACTGAAAAAAGTCTAATATTTGACACTAAACGCCATTTCTAATACAACCTTGGTTCACTAAATTTAACGATTTCATCATTGTTCATCTCAAAGAATCATTTTGATAGATAGGGATTTTAGGTGACAGTGGTTTAAATTTGTTAATTACAATTCTTTTCATTCACAGACAGATTTGTTATTTAGGATTTCAGGAAATTACAGTAGAGATTTTCTTTTCTTTCTTTCTTTTGTTTTTTAGATGGAGGTCTTTTTGTGTCACTCAGGATGGTCTTGAACTCATGGTCTCCAGGGATTCTCCCACCTCAGCCTCCTGATTACCTGTGATTGCAGGCATGAGACACAGTGCCAGCTTGAGTTTTCTTTTTAATGAAGCTTTTCTGCTCTTTCACAAATACTGTGCTGAATGCTGAATCTGAATTTTATGCCTTTAACTATATAGTGACATATGTAATCAGTTTATTCAAATGTTTAGAAATACATGGGGAGAACAGCATAGACAAAGATAAAATTCCAAACATGAATATCAAGCACAGAATATGTACTAGAGTCACATATTCACAAGGAAATAAATCCTCAATCATTATGGATACAATGAGTAAATTCTTACATCTCAGAAAATGTCTAGTTGGATATAAACTTTTTTTAGAAAGTAACTTGGAGACTTTAGAAACTTCATTTGGTACTATTTTAAAAATATTACACTAGTGGATTAGGATGAGTTGCTATGTTGTGGAAAAAATTACCATCTGTCAATCCAAGAAAGTAATTTGCACTGGATAAAAGTAGCTGAACTTTTTATTTTTATAGTAGAAAGAAAAAATATTTTTCTTTAAGTAGACTAATTGATACTTATTCTAAGTAACGATTTTATTTGTGCATATTTAAAGAGAATGCATTTCCACTGCATTTATGGAGTATTATGATCACAAATACCACTGATATGTGATTTTACATTTCCCAAATGGAAGAAAGACTTACTACTCCAGAACTTTATAATTTATCTTGGAGATCAGGTAGGGCAACTTCCTCCATCTAAGAGTGAAAAGCTGAGACCTAGAGCCCCAAATGGCTCACCTATGGATAAAAAGTCCACTAGTGGCCAAATATCCTGAAGCCTAAATATCCCAGCTCCTAATTGGGCTCATTATATGGCATTTCTTACAATTTATCCAGTTTAACAAATATCTATTAATGTTCTACAGCAAAGTGTTTTATGAGGCTCTCTGGAGGCATGAGAAGATCAACAAGTCATGAGTAATATTTGGAGGAAACACACAGTTTAGAGATGGAGCCATTTGTGTAACAGATGCACAGAACACAAACTGGAAAATCCAAATATAGAGGGAGAAAAAGCAAGAGAAAACTCCTGCAGGTGCTCTGAGCCCTGTATTTTCAATATAGCTCCCCGCCATAGGATTTGTATACCCTTGTAAGTAGTATTCTCTCAAATTTCCATTTGCTAAAGTGTCATTTCCTACTCCCCACACCAAACTATGATTTTAATGGTAAGAGTGAGGAAATATCTGACAGTAAAATATTCCCTTCCAGCCAAACACCTGCTCCTTACCTCCCATGTAGAAGAATTACAGTCTCTCAACTCTGCATTTTCCTTTCCCACATCAAGATCCCTATCCTAGGCCTGCTGCATTGGAAACTCTTTTAATATCAGCACCTTTGGTGGTAGCAGGGTAGATATGGATTCTGTGGGTAGGATCTCCACTGCTAAGCGCCGCTACTGCATGGGACCATTAATGAATGCCTGAGACTCGGGGTGAGCTTTTTCCTTTTGTGACACTCATGTTGCAAATACTAGTTTTTAGAAGGCTTTGTTTCAAAACCAAAGGTTACACGTTGAGAGTGACTCTAGCTCTGATATGAATTCTTCATTTTTAGAGGTTGAAACTACATCTGAATAGTCCTTCTTCCCTCCTTTTCCAGCTCTTTTCCTCCCTATCTATCCCCTTTGACATTCACAATGGCAGAACATGCATCCTGATGCACTAATGCATGTGTACCCAATCTCATATGCATTAGTACACACAACACAGGGCAGCATCCATGTGGCACACACATATTCACTAGAAGTCGTGTTTCCCTCTAGGCTGCACTGATGGATTCATAGAAATCCTAATCAGAGATCAGATAATAGGAGAGGGGATTAAACCAACCACCTCCTACCCTCAGGAAGAACACTTTCTAGAGACCTGTATTGTAGAGGTTCCTTTTTTCATCCCCCTCAGGAAATGTTACCGAATGCCTGATAAAACTTGAAACCATACTACAAAACAAGCTATCTGCTGTGATGAGTAACATACACTTTAGAATCCATTTTATTTAATATTATAGAAAATACATGTTTTTGAAAAACCACATTTTCATTTTTTATACACAGTAATTTTATACTGTATAGAAGTCTTCAAATGAATAATGTACATATGTATTATTTAAGACATACAGGTGTTATCTGTAAAGTAAAACCAACAAGTCATGTTTTACGCTGACCAGCTGTGAAATGTTGTTTTAGCTTTTCTCACACAATTATGCACATATTACTTGCTTTTATGAGTTACTTGAGTTCTATTTTTTCTTTATTTTCCAGAAATCATCAAAAATCAAACCTTACTAGGAACACATGGAAAATCAGGAATTTCCAGCAGAAAGTAATTTGAAATATTTGAGAGTTTTTTCTTCCACTTCATAATGGCAAATTTCAAGCAGATTTCAAATTACTTACTAAGCAGTAGCTGTAATTGTAGTGGGATTGTTTCTCAGTCCTATAATTATATATATGTATATATTTTAAAGTTAAGGTTACCTCTTAACATCGCCTTGCTCAAACTCTAGAATATTAGTCTTCCTAAAAACTTTTTGGTCTCTCTATGTCAATATATTTTTCTGATAAATGAAGTAAGAATTTGAAGTAAGTCCAGACAAAGCTGATAAATATCATTTGGTTGCAGTCTCACCCCTGGCAAGCAGGGAAATGGAAACTGTAGCTTCTTGATTAATTTGATTATCTCCTACCAACGATCTTGGGGTCATTGCAAGTTGCTTATGTGGTCAGTGGAAGAAGACACACGGCGTCTTTTCTCAGACTGTCCATGCATTATTACCCTCTCAGACACACCTTTCTTGGTCAGGTACTAACAAGTGGAAGAGCAGTTATCTGGGTTACATTTCTAGACCTGGGTTCAAGTGAATACATTACAGTTTTTCCCACTTTATTTTTCTTAGGATGTGTTTCTCTTCCTACATCTCTGTTTCTTACTCTTTTAAATAAAGTTGGAAACAGGAAGTGACAATGCATTCCAGGAACTCACCATCAACTCTCCCCCTTTCCTCCTTCCAGCTGGCCCAACCTGGACCTGCTGGAAACTTCTCTTTCATCACTAGATGAAATGCCTCTGACCTTTGAAAATATGAGCACATGAGCTTGAGGCAGCAGGAAGAGAGGAAGTGGGCTTGGACTGATTTACAGTTCAGGGAACTGACTCTTGCCGGCAGCTTCTGGTGTGGTTCTTACCAAGAGCCTGACTACCATTTCAATCCTCTCAATCCATCTATACCCTTTCCAGTTTATGTTAGTGAGAAACAAGACTCCTCCATCCTTTAAGGAAGTGGAACATCAGATTATTTTCAGAATGGGGGTGGAGAGGAAAGGGTTCAGTTGTGGTGCCCTCATTTGTGAGACTCAAACTCTTGTTCATAATCATCTTTTCAGATAAATCCCCACCAGATCTGCCCAGAAAGTTTATCAGATCCTCAATGGCCCATGTTATCTTGGATCCCAATATTTCAGGTGACTTTTAAATGGCATCTGAAAAAGTTAATCTGACTAGTGACATTATAGAATTTATTATTGATAGTTGCCCATAAGTTACTAAATTCATATTT